GATCAGAGGTGTACATCTTTACCCACAAAACACATCTTCCTCACGTGTAACCACGTGCCACATACCACCACGGCATATGGATGGAAGACATGACATAGTTTCCAACCCATCCTAGCCATAGACAAGAGTACCGACCCAACCCCGCCTACGGCCGAAACCCCCGGGACAGGCAGGCAGGATTGAGCCCCTAGCAGCAGGACACCAGCCCTGTGCCATGACATCTCGACTACCGGGCCGCAGCTCGTGTAGCCTTCATTTGTCCTAGAGATGTCCATCGACCCCCGACTTCGTCCATCTCCATCCGTGTACTTTTGTTTATAACCAGACTGAGCCACAAACTAAGCCTTACCCACTAGACATGTGAAAGTACGGTAGTGCTTTGCAACAGAGGCCCGAGCTTAATCCTTATAGTGGCCGGGGTGCTACTTCCCACAACTGGCATGCACCCAAACCCCACCGGAAAACAGGTTGTAGGGGTTTTGAAAGAGGAAGAGGGGTGTATGTCCAATTCGACCATAAGCCAACCATTCCATAGTATCCAAGTGATATGAGAATTCCCAAAGTCTAAAGTTATAAAACCACCTAATGTTGCCTAATTAATCAGCGAAGCATCTACCTAAATTCATACTAGTGGAACCATGAATAGAGTACCCACTAGTTGGGGTTTTATTTTCCTAGGGTGAACAAGGTAATAATAACAATAGCAATAATAATAAGGTCATAACAAAGGTAAATAGGCATGGCTAAATAAAACAGTGATAACGCGGGAATTTAAATAAAGCGATAATGCATTAATTTAAATCAAAATAATTTTATAAACTGGGATTCAATATGTTCAAGGATGATGCGATTTGCCTTGCTCAGAGACAACGGCCTTCCGAACCTTCGGCGACGATCGCGAACCACGCTTCGGGAACCTCCGGAACGACAGAAGCTACGCGAAGCACACAAGCAAAGCTACAAGCCTATAAAGAAGCAATAACAATACATAAAAAGAAAGCACAGGGTTCTTTAGGTTATAGCAAACATTAAGAGACTTGAACGGGTCGATTCGGAGCTCGTATGACCAAGACATGGTCATCCGAAGTTTAATGTTGTTATATGGAGATTTGCGGATTATTGTAATTAGTTTTTGCAACTATAAAACATGTGTAAGCGCTAGCCTGGAAAAGACTGGAAGGCTGCGCCGTTGACATGCGGACCCCACATGTCAACCTAAAGGACCGCGGTAGATCGAGTACACAGAGACGGTCCACGGGTCACGGAAGCGGACCCCGTGTGTCAACCGAGGCGAGTGGCCGACAAACGGACTCCACTAGACACCACGCGGGCTGCACACGTGAAACCATGCGGCTACCGAGCGGGCACACTAACAGGGTCACCACATGCACAAGCGAACGACTACCGACACCGGTACACGGGTACCGGGGTCTACAACCGCACAACGGGTACGGGGCGACACCGAAAGGACGAGGACGGGGCAGTGAGAGGAGAGATCCTTACCACCACGCGACGAGGTGGGGGAACGACAACGACGAACGGGCGTGGCGGAGACGGCCGGGAACGACGGAGACGAAAGGCGAGGGGACGACTTCGGCGGCGATCCTTGGACGAAGGCGAGACGCGGCCGGCGCAACGCTCGACGACGCGGAGCCGAGGACGAAGACGACGACGGGGCTGCCGCGGCACACTTGACGGACGTGGACGATGGATGAGAACGGCTTGACGGAGGGACGAACGCCACGACGACCGGGAACGATGAGAGGACGACGACCGGAACCGGCGAGGAGGCGACAAGGGCAGCCGGCAGCGGCTGCACGGAGACGAGGACGGCGTGGAACGCGCCGCTGCGATGACGACGAGGGTGGCAGCGCAGCGAGACGACGTGCCGGGCGACCGACGGGACGTCGACGTCGAGGACGAACAGAGACGACGACGACGGACAGCGGAGGGGTTCGGATGGAGGGGAGGCGAGGCCGCGGGCGACCTTGCCGCTGCGAGGCCGGAGGAAACGACGACGCGATCGACTGGGGAAATTTCGGCGAGGAGGATGGAGAGGCCGGCGCGGCACGACGGTGTTCCGGCGAAAAACGGGCGACGCCATGGCCTGGCCAGGGAAGAGGACGACGTTCCGGTGCTGGGAGAGGCAGCGACGACGAAAGCCGACGATCCGGCAAAGCGGCACAGGCGGCTGGAGGTGGTACAGTGGCGGCAACGCTACTGTACACCAGCGAGGACGCGTCTCCGATGGTCCCCGTGCGAAACGGAGGGCAGGCCGGCGTTGAGGGGACACCTGCGAGGCCGAGGAAGGTGGTGGCGACGTCAGCCGCCGCACGGGCGAGGCGGCACAGGCGGCTGGAGGGTGGCCGGCGCCGAGGGAAGAGAAGGAGGAGGCGGGGAGAGGTGGTGCGGCCACGGGGGAGCTCGGGAAGGGGCTAAAGCGAGAGAACGCACGGAGGGGGTTCCATTTTATAGGTGAGGGGAGGGAGCCGGGCATGGGAGAGGGCAGAACGGCGACGGGAAACACGGCCGGCGGCCATGGAAGGCGGCCGGGAATGGCGCGGCCGTTCCGGGCGATTGGGGGCACCATTCAAGGGGGAAAACGGGGGAAATCAAAGAGGAATCAATGGGAATTAATTCCCCCTATTTAATTTTGGAATCCCATGATTAAATCGCACGGATTTGAGGGAGGAAAGGAGCTAGGGTTCACAGGAGAGGGAGGAGGCCGTGCTGGAGGAGGAAGACGACCGGCGCGTGGGCCCCACGCGGTCAGCCCGCGTGCAACGCGCGTGGTCAGCGCGCGTGAGGGGGGGGCGGCTCGGGTGGCTGGGGCGGCTGGGTGGCGTGGCTTGGGCCGGGCGGCCGGCCCAGGAGGAGAAGAGGGAGAGGCGGCCTGGGGGAGAGAGGGAGGAGGAGGGAGCTGGGCCAAGGGGAAGGAGAGGAGGCCCACGAGAATGAGGGAGAGGAGGAGAGGGAGAGAAAGAGAGGGAGGAAGAGAGGACTTTGGCCGCGGGCCGAGAGAGAGAGAGAGGACTTTGGGCCAGACTTGGCCCAAAGGGAGGAGGGGGATTAATTTTAGTTTTTTTTTCTTTTTAGTAAACTTTGTTAATTGTTGTTGTTGCTTAATAAATATTTTTGGTGCTCTGAATATTCAAGTAAAATTTGAGGGCTCATTTTAGACGAAGGAGAACTTAACAAAAATTCTCTGGGCCACATTCGAAATTTTCCTGTACGTATTTTAGTGTTTGCCAATTTCTTTTCGAATTTTAATTAATTCTATTATTCCTTTTAGAGAATGATTTTTAATTTCGGGATGAATTTATCAGGACGTGACACCGAGCGCGTCGCTCCCCCCTCAAGGAGGGACCCGACCTCACCGCTACCGTCGCATGTGAGGGCTCCTGGCTGCTAGGTCCTCGCCATCGTCCACCACTCCTGCCGCGAGAAGAACGCTGCGGCTACGGCTACGGCAGCGGGGACCGCACCCGCCGCGCCGATGCAGGAGAGGACCAACCTGAGGCGTCTCCCCCGACAGATCTGTCCTTCCTAGCCTCAAAACCCTCGCCGGAGGCCGTGATGTTCAGGGTCTCATACTACGAGGCATAGCTCCAGGAGATGCAGCGGCAGCGCGGGTGGTACCTCATGCACACGGCAGCGGCAGATCCCGTACTTCTCACTGATGCCAGATTAATTATATGCGAGGGGTGGCCTCATATGTGAGGGATGGATAAGGCTAAGGAGGCGTGAGGAGGAGATCATAAGGCTGAGGAGGCTGGTTCTTTTAAAAAACTGGTAACTATAGTAACTTAAAGGTGCCAGTTTTTTTATTTTTTTTATCATGTAGATGTGACAAAAGGTCCATAGGTGTTGGTTTTAAATGAATCCATATCAATAAGGCCGGTCCCTATGAGAAATTTTTTTAGCAGTGATCAAAATTTCGGCTACTCTGGCTAAAATCAATCTATTCATGAAACCGCCGGTGCCGGGTATACTTTCTCCCTAAATCAATCGGTTTGGCGGCGACGTTATTCGAAGATCAGGAAATTAATTTATTACGCCGTCTACTTCTATTTTCGTCTACACCACAGTCGCCGCCGCCATTATCTGTGTTGAGGCGCCGATCGTCTTGATTAATTTTAGAAAGACAGGCAGCACACGCTTTCCTCTTCTCCTGTCTTGCTGCGTTACGTCCAGAGCAAGGAAAGCAATCGGATTTGTTCGATCAAAGCTAGTACTGCACACACGCAATCGGATTTCATATTGTATCGGCTGTTACTGTGAAGCATCAATTTTCCAAATTTTGCTACCTGTACACAGGAGATCGACCACCAAGGCTATTGATCTCTTGAATTTTGAAGAATTTTGCTAAATACACACGTCAAATAAACCAAGTTTTCAGATAATAGTTTAAGTGCTAGCTGATCATGCGGTTGAGCCAATGTGAATTATGGTTGCATTAACGTATGGCTGCACTGCTGAAGGGCAAGAAGAAAAATAAATCTCTAAAAAGTTCTTTTAAGTAAGAAACTATTTGAACATCAATTTCAAACGATAGGACGACAACTAATATTGAAATATGTATTTTGGAAAATACACCAAAACAATCCAAAACATTGTTTAGTCAAAAGAAACCCAAAACATCAAAATCGAGAAAAACAGGCGATTGGTAGGCAGCGTCCGGACAATACTGGTGTTCGAGTGATAACTGTGAACTCATTGTTTCACTTATCCACATACTTATAAGTTACAAGTTAAAATTTTAATTTTAAAGCTGATTTTATCCTTTTATATCTTGGTTTATATTATAATATTTGCTTTTGAATCGTTAAGAACATGTTCAACCTGTAAATTGTTTTCTATTTGTTAATATCAAGTAGCACACATCTTTGTTTGGTTATGTGTGTGTGAGCAGAGTGAGCAATGGTGCCTATAAATATGCGTACTGCACGCTAGGTCGACTCCACTGTACTGTAGACAAATAACCACGGCACGGTGGCGCCATGGAGCCGGGAAGCATAGCCGAGCGTTTCAGAGATAGGAGCATACTCATCACCGGCTCTACTGGCTTTCTGGCAAAAAGTACATCACTTAATTAGTTTGAGCGCATGAAAGAATATTATTTATTTTAACTTCATCCTTAGTTTTGATTTTGATTTTGATTTATTGATTTTTTTTCTCTTTGAGCATGTTAAGAGAGTACATTAAAATTCCGTGTGTGTGTTTAATGTGTGTACGCGTGTGTCTTTCATGAATTGAAATAAATGAAACTCATGAGTTCAAACATAATTACAAATACAGGCAATTTTGGGGCCCTTCTCTTTTTAGCTTATCTGCCGGTATTGAAATGGATTATTTGCTCTGCGCTTTTAAACATTTGTTTTCTTAAAATAACGATCTGACAACTTATTTTTAACTATTTTTTAAATGTTCTTAAAATATGCTTAAGTTATTATTATAAAAGTCTAATTAAATTAATTGAGTAGATAATTCACAATAATAATCCACCTAGTAAGTATAATTAAATAAAATGAGGCCTTAGTGTACAACTTGCTACACCTCTTTTTTTTTTTAGACTACAATGAATGCTGCAGTGCTTTGTTTTTCTTTGCAATTATTTAACGTAAATACTTGGCGTGTTTTTATTCATGTTTTCGAAATGTTCGATAAATTACAAATTACAACCTTTCCACAAGCTATTAGGAAGGGGAAAAAGTCCATATCATCCTATAAACTGTTGCAACGGTTAAAATTATCATCTCATCTACAATATCGTATATTTCACACCTCAAACTATATAAACCAGATGAATTACCGCAAAAAAAATTTCAAGGCTGTAAGCTGTATTGATCGTAACCTGTAGTGGTTTGGCCATGTGGCAATCCAGTTATCACATTAAGAAAATAAAATTCTAAAAAATATGGCAGGTCCCACAGAAAGAAATTGACCGTGACAAACATGCAGGTGGACCGCCAGAATTTTTTTTATATTTTTTTTTTGTCTAGTTGGTGAATAGACTACCACATTAGCTAAATTATATACACACACAGGGGTAAAAACTGCTCTAGATTGAATTAGGGGAAATGGTAATTTGTCCGGGTTGAAAATTAATGTTTGGTTCTGTAGGTCTATGGGGTTTTTTTGGACTCTATAGAGATCAGTTGGTAATTGGGACTTTTTCATTCTTGAAAAAGTAGACCTGCTATCTGTACGTTAATGAGTATAAATATTGGTAAAACTTAGTAATAGATAACCATAAAAGACTATTTTTGAAGATGCCCTTGTTTTTACTGCACGGACCGACGGACGTCCATAAGTCTCTAAGCAATTGGCTCTAAAAATTAACTTTTATACACTACACGGTTGTACTAATTAAGAAATTGTATCTGAAAATGCAATATATTTGAAGGGTCGTCGTCCAAAGACTATTAGTACCTGTAAACATGTTTTTATATTATAGGTGGATAATAGTTAAAAATTTACACTTGATGAATGATGAACAACGGTACTGTAACCGGACACTATATGACTAGTAGGAACAAGTCTGACATCCGTCGGTACATGCTTTGATCTCGATCGATGTTTTTTGACGTGGTTTTTTCTTACTATTTTCATAAGAAATTGTATTTACCATATATATATATATACATATTATTTTTTATATTTATATTTATATGTGTATTGCCATCGTCGACAATGCAGTGCTGGTGGAGAAGATACTTCGAATTCAGCCGGACGTGAGGAAGCTTTACCTGCTGGTGCGTGCTCCGGACGCCGCAGCCGCCAAGGAGCGTCTTCTCACTGAAGTACAAACACACGCACAGATCATGCTATATTATATTTTTGAACTGGTTTTTCATGCAGAATATGCATGGATTACTATTATAATTTATTTTTGGTGTGCTAAGTTTTTAGAAAAGTTGTAGTAACAAATTCTAACATAAAACGTATACACTATTAAAAATGTATTCAATGACGAGTTTAATGAAACTGATTTCTTGTCGTAAATAATGCTACATTTTTCTATATATACTATATATTACATGTAACATTTGTCCAGCCATCCCATAAATGATTTACCGTGGTGTTTTATCGACCTGTTTATAGCAAAGGGCCTATGAAAAATCGACAATTTACAAAGGTAAAAAAAAAAGGTCACCCGTGAAACAATCTAAATTGAAACAACGTTCAACTACAAAGTTTCTATATCACATCATATCGAGGGCTACAATTCTCGTTTAGAGTTTATCATGATCTGACCTCACATGAAAGGGTTATGCATTTCTTTTCATATTTGAGTGGTGCACCCAGTTTTAACCCTAGTTTTCTTAAAGAAAACTGCATGCGAAATCTATTTTTACGGGATTTGCATTTTTAAGGGTGGTTTTATCAAGCAAGTCCGCCCGTGAAAATTATGTTAAGGGCGGTTTATTCAATAAATCCGCCTGCAAAAAAAATCCCCTTATATTGTCAAAATGACTCAACTATACAAATTTAGAGAAAATTCACTTTGAGTAATATTACAGGATATACTATAAGAATATCATATAACTTTGGTTTACCTCAATCAGGCTTAATATGAATTTTCAAGAACTTTTGAAAGTTTGGACTTTATATAGAACCCACCCCTTGTAAAAATATATAGCAAAGCTTCTAACGAATAAACAGGAACCTAAATGATCTTATTGAGCTCTATAATTTTAGTATTTTAGTATAAAATATGTCTCCATCCGATGAGCGATGACGGTCAGAAAACTAAAAGAAACAAAATCTGAGAGCAAGAACTGCATACTTGAACCCCTACAAAGCTGTATATCTCACCGAGGGCTATAATTTTCTTATATAGGGTTACCGTTTCTTGATTCTTTAGTGGTATTTTAATTTTAAGTTTGGCTTTTCTGAAGCAAACCACCATGAAAATAGATTTTTTACAGGTTGACTTCTTAGGGACCCACCCACAAAAATTGTTTTCCGGAGATGGCTATGACCTGAGGCGGTGTCAACCATTTTCACTGGGACGTTTCTTTTAGGGACGCCTAAAATAATGATGCCCGAAAAAATAATTTTTCTACTGATGATACTTAGTCAATTTAAAATTTGAAGTAATTTAAATTATGACAAACTAAAATTATGTATAATGTGGAACGCGGGGAGGGCAATATTTAGCTTACTAACCATAATTTTTAGTGCATTAAGCAGGTTGCTTTTTTGATTAATGATGAATCCTCTTTATATGGAAAATCTTACGAATCTTAAGTATAATATTGCCTTTCTACCAGAGAAAAGTATCACTGTGGGTCTATTTTGAACTAATAGTGATACTCTATGACTGTCTGTTTGCTTTGTATTTCAAACCTAAATCAGTTTGAAACGGTTCAAGAATTATGTGTATCAGGTGATTTTAACTTCAGTGAAATAATTCAGAGGAATTAATCAAACGGTTTTATCTTTTGCTATAGGTTGTAGGAAAAGGACTATTTGATGTTCTGCGAGAACAACACGGTGCATCTTTCCACTCTTTCATCAAGGAAAAAGTATGCCCTTTACCTGGAGACATCACGCATCAAAACTTTGGGCTTGGAAACTCTGAGATCCTACGGTTATCCCAGGATGTCGACATCATCGTTAATGGTGCTGCAACGACCAACTTTATGGAGAGGTACATAAAGTGTGTGTTGGCCATCAGGGTTTTTTTTTCCAACCCTTTAAGATTTATTTATGGAGGTATTTTGTATGACTTAACTCCTATATGATTTTTTTTTTCTAATCGGTCATTTGAAACAAGTGATTGGATATTTTCAAATCCTAAAATTTCCAATGAATGCCTCAATGTATGTATAATTTTGTAGGAAGGTTAATGAGACCTTAAACCTCTTGGAAAATTTTCTTTAGAACTATTTCTCTTATTCGATTCTTGTATCAATCCTGCGGTTTATTCAAACAGTCACTCTTTTATTTTCTAATATTTTGTAATCTTATATCTTGCGCTTGTATTCCTATCAAAATCATATATTTTTCCTATTCCAATGTTTTTTTAAAGGATTCATTCCAGAGGAGCCTTACCATTACCTGAAATGTATCAAGAGGGTATTAAATTTCAGTTTTAGAAAACTCTTATGTATCTGATGATAAAATCTCAAAAATACGTATATTATGATACGTTTCGCTTGGCATAAGATGAGAACATTGAAGAGAATATATTACTGCTCTTGAAGGCATCAGCAGATTTAATTATAAAAAATTAATCCGTAATAAATTAAAAAAACCTTAAACTGAAGCCTACTGATAAAGTTTCGTTCCATGGAAGAAAACTATTGAAGGCACCGACAAATTTATTTATCTATCCATTATTATATTATTATATAGTAAAAGTCAATATGCATCCAAAACATTTCTAAGCCGACGTGTAACACTGCTACAAACAACGATCAAACTATGTCGCAGTCCAGTAAATTAAAGAAATTCTTACAATTATGCGAAAGAACAAAACTTCATGCCATCGATTTTTTACTTAAAACTGATGAATCCATAATTTTAAACCATTGGATTAAATGGATTTAAAACAAACAAACCAGGCTGCGAAGATCGTTGGCCCTCCCCCTCACCTCTTCCCTCTCTTTTAGTCCTCTTTTTAATTACTATTTATCATATAAATTTTAAATTTATCCATCACAATTAAAAATCATTGGGTCAAATTATTAACTTAAATAATTTTATTATAGGTCATGTCTTGACCTTTTGCATCATCTCTAACAGGGAAAAAAAAAGGACAACTTAGATTATAATATCATATATACAAATATGTATAACTAAATTAGTTCTACACTGTCAGATTATTTTCCTTTAAATTAGTTCTACAATGTTCAATAACAAAGTTTAGACTGTTATAATATTTAACATTAAATTAAAATTTTATGATCTGAACTGACAATTTTATCTTGTAAAAGAAAAATATATTTTAGGTTATATTTTGTTTTTTAGAATGTAATTCGAAAGTACATGCAAATTATAAGAAGGATGAAAATATAGAGTGTATCACTACATATCTGTCATCCTTTCAAAAAAACAGGTCATGTCTTGGGCTTTCCATTGTATTCAATTATTATGACAAATCCTTAAAAGAAATTATTGATATGGACTATATCATCTTACAAATATGCTTTTATATGCTTAAAATGTAGGTTACAGTCTATTCGGTACATACGGGGATAACCTAATGTAGTCTTATTTACCACCATGTATAAGTTCTATATTTTGAGGACTATATTACTGCCCCAAATAATATGTACAAGAATAGATGGAATGCACGTCATTTTTTCCCTCTTTGAATTATATTAAATAGGTACGCACAGTACGTTGGTATTTCATACAAGTTTAATTAATTAGGAAATAAAGATCAAACGAAACTTATATATACGAGAATTCATGCAAATATGGAACAAAAATATATTATATAATAAGAATTGAGTTAACAAATTGTACTTTAGTCTATGGTTCTTGCACACATTCATAAGCACTCTACACATACTAATTATATTTATATAATTGTGCTCTTATACCAAATTAAATTCATTTTCAAAGAAAATAATATAGTGTATGAGAAAAAAGAGAGTTGACGTAAATAGAAGTCAGTCTTTAAGTAGATGAAACTGTCTATTACCTGTATTTTTTAGTAGAAAATATCTTCAATTAATATATTTTAAAGTCCATAAAGATATCTATAACATACAGGAAAAAATGTTAATTAAAGTTTAGAAACTCCAAAATTTATGTATGCTAAATATTCTATAAAAGAAGCAAACATAGTAAAAATGATAGTTTCATTGGAACTAATTCCATTTTGTGAGATTATTTTCTAGTAAATTCAATACTGCATAATCTCCAGTTTAGAATTTATATGTTACACGGCTAATTAGAAGGAAATCATGACCAATATTCAAAGTTATCCCAAATAAATTACGAACAAAAACGTGTTTATAATGAAAGTTAGAATATTTAGAGTCGAAGAATATTAAGAAAAAAAAGAATATTGAGAGAAAAAATCATCATAGATAAACATTTATTAAATAAGGTGCCCGTGTATTTCTTCGTTTACATGTAAAAGACCATCCGTATAAATCATTGTAAGTGTCTAATGAAACAACCAACTGTCGAGATCCTTACTAATTATCTCCCACTGGTGAAGCAATTTCGCATTCAACTATTAGGAGGGTGGAAACAACAACACTATGGGCCATATTAAGGGTGTTTGTTTGATTGAGTTGGAACCTTTTCCTCTCACACGAAAAACGAGGTAGCTCACGAGCTCATGATTAATTAAGTATTAATTATAAAAACTGAATTAATATAGTTTTCTTACAACAACTTTTCAATAGAAACTTTTTAAAAAGACAAATCATTTAACGGTTTGAAAACGTGCACATGGAAAATGAAGTAGTCCCAGTACATAATTAGGTGTGGAATAGAGGAAGGCTATGTCATTCTCACTGGGTCACTGTACATGTGCAGGTATGACGTTGCTTTGGTAACAAACACAGCAGCAGTCATCCATTTATGTCAGTTTGCAAAGCAGTCCGATAACCTCAAGATGCTCCTTCATGTTTCCACTGGTAAATTACATATACAAAATTGAGTACTACAAAAGTATATGTAAAACCTATAGTCTTGTAAATGGGAGTGCATCAAATAATCCGGTAAAGTAAGCTAATTTCCACCTTTTTGGTTCATTCTTCGAATCAGGTGAAGCATATCATAAGCATAAAGTTCTAGAAACCGCCCTTTCCACATGATAAACCCTTCACTCCCCACCCGTTTGCCCATACATTACACCAAAATCCCATAGTACGCACAAAATTTTCAAAACTTCAGTTCCCTCCATAGGTACTCTTTTGGCTAATCATTCTTAGTTCAGCAAAATTATTCAAATTCAATTTGTTTCTGCCTAAAATTTTAATCAATTTCGATTTGACTGGCTGCCCCAGTTTTTTCTACTTTCCATAATGTAAAACCCTCGTCCCACCACCATACAACCATTTCACCTTATTTTTCAAATTCCAAATTAGCTAGCTCAGCTCTTCCTAGCTAGTAGTGGCCCACCACTTACCGATGCATATATATCAGCTCGCTACTAGAGACTGCAAAGCTACCGTGTGCCAAAAACACTCGGCATCACCTCGAAAACACAAGTTGCCGAGAGCAGACTCCCAGGAATGCGCTCTCGGTGGCCTCACACCTTTACCGTCAGGTTCTTCCCGTGAGACAGTGCTTGTACAGTCGGGATGATGAAGGAAATTACCGAGTGGACATAGACACTCGGTAACAATCTGTTTAACGGCACAAGCTGTGCACAAGACGGGACGGAAGTAATAGAACGGAGTCTTACCGAGAGTTACAAAAACACGGGAAAAAACAAACGTTACCGTGTGCAATACACAAAACACGGTAACATGAGACAGTATACCAAGAGGATTATAGTACCGGAGACACGGGAATGTTGAAATTGTTACCGTGTGTTTGTGTAGTCCACAGTATCATACCGAAAATGAACAGTGGGCAACATTATACATCTGGTTTACAGATTTCTTATATTCATGATAGTACAGCACGCATATGAGACAAGCAACAGTCAGGCAGATTTACGCAAACATAACTGGCAGAATATAGGAAAGCATCACATAAATATATTAGAATCATAGAATAATGTCATGTGAACATAAGAACATCATGAGACAAGAACACAACATGAATGGATCTACAAACTAGCTAGCTACACATGGCTGACTAACCAAATGTGTTCATTGACAACACAAATCAATCCCAGTCCTTTGCCATGATCATTATATGCCTGAAATTATATAAAAAAAATATCTTAGTGCTAAATAATATTACATTTTGTTTCCCGTACCACATTACGAAGCAACAAGACAATGAAAATAATGTGAGACAAGTATGAAATTCCATATGACAAAGAGATAGCATGAAACAACTTGTGAGAGCATCTCTTCATGTGTGTGTGTACACTACTGCACAAATAAAAGAATGAAGGGAAACATCTCTGCTACTGCTTCTTCTGAAGGTCTGGCAGCAACATAAAGAAATATAGACTCCTAGTATGTTATACATAGTTCAACACTTTGTGATTCTTATTGTAGTCAACACTATAATGGATCTCTTAATCATCATTTTGTTTTTCTTTTGTACCAAACAAACTTACAACACATTGATATAAAAATAGCCATGGCAGAAAATTACCTTCAATCAAGAGGGAGATCCAACCAATTGTTGGGATAGAGCAATCATTTGCATCCATGCTTTGTCGCCAGCCCTACATCTCACCTAGATCCTGACCATGGCGGAGTGCTTGGTGCAATCAGCTCCATGTATTGCTTCCATGATGCTCTGCAGCCTCTTCAATACGCGGCTGGTGACAATTGCATAGGATGAAAAAATTAAGGTGGCCGTCTACTGGAGTTCATGCATGATATCACAAATAGTTTAAAACAATGATGTTATGCAAAAAGAACATCAAAATATTATGCACTTGAAGAAATGATTGTCATTTTGTGTTGCATTGCCAGGAGATTAATATATTTTGGGAAAAAACTGAATCTTATTCTCTACTATAAGGAAAATCTGAAATCTTATTCACTCTAGCAAAACTGAATTAGAGTTTCAATTCACACAATCTGTGCAAAACACGACCGACAGAAGAAGATGCAAAGCAGCAATTAACAGAACATCTCCATTTTGATTAGGGTGTTAGCAATCTTTAGTATTAACTCGATCTTTAATTTATGGTCTACCCCTCATTACAGTTTAGAAGAGGCAAGATTGGTTATCAAAAACAGATACACAAGAATAGGACGTGTTAGGATACTGGAACCAACTGCTTGCAAATCTTAGTGCTGAAATGTATTCTTTAGAGAACAATTTGACAGTACAAATAGAAGCAGGAGCAGAAAAACAAGAACTGAAGGGAAAAAAATAAAAATCCAAAGATCCTGCATGCTGCACCATCTGCATGCGCCACTCCGGTACAAGATGATTTCAAGCCACAGCAAGTACTGGTTTCTATCACAACGGATTAACCAAGTATAAATGTTTGCATAACTGTTCAGTGAAACAAGGTAACTTAATTTCAATTCATCAAGAAGAATATAATTTAATGCAAGGTACAAAGTATTTCTAACCAGGATGGAAAGAATTTAGCTGCTCCACCCTCCATTCTGCTCCCTTACCTCTAGCATATCCTATATATTAATTTCAGAGACACAGGTCAAATCTGGAAATGGCAACATATGCTGTTGTAATTTCTCCAGGCATGCATTCAACCTCCTGCAAAATAACAAATAACAATCAACAATCCTTTCATATTTACATTTCAGATTCAGGCTGTTATAATTCCAACTTGTATCTTACTTGATATAAAAATCTTCAGACCTACAAAATCAACCCTCGTGATGGTATCTAATGGTTCTAAGTTCCACAGTACACGTACAGTTTTGCACATCATATATCTAAAGTTCAAAGACATTAGCCACAAGCATAATTTAAATCAAACATAATGCAGTTAGCAACTATGTTTCGTCAAAAACAGACTGACCAAAGTCACAATGGTACAAAATCAAACTGATGCTGTCTCATCATTTCATTTCTTGTTTTTTCATAATTCCAACAGAAATTCTATAAGCAATTTATTTCTCAAGTCGTAATGCTAACAAAAATACTATCCAATGAAAATCAACTAGGATATCTCCACGACTCCAGTGAAGATATTAACATCTATTCATAGGTCATTGCACAAAGTCAATAGCAACTAAAGAGGGCAATAATAAAAGGAAGAAACTAGTAAATAGCATGTCATTATTTTAAAATAAGCAATCTCTTTAGCATGAAGATTATAGAAAATATCAAAAGTTCATGATTACACGATAACTATACAATTAAGAAGTGATATATTCAATCATAGATTTCTGTAGCATATATTTTATCTTTGTAAAATCTAAGCATCAAGCAGACAATCACATAGCCCTATTGACTTGCTTAGGCAATACCACAAACACCATCAATGCAGCAAAAGTGAAGCAAATTTCATCCAGAAATGGACAGACCTACAGTGTTATGTGCTCACCGATTGTGCTATGCTGCATTGAGCTTGGCGAGGAGAAGCGGCTACAGATCTCGCTGACGGCGTGCTGCTCGGTAGAGACACGGAGTGGAGTCGGCGTCTGCTTGGCGTGCTTCGGCGGATACTCGGCGGAGAGGACGGATTGCACTTGATGGCGACGCTAGGCGGATAAGACATGCTTCCGACGGCGGTGCTCGGTGGAGAAGATCGAGAAGCAGCTTGGGACGATGAGCCGCTGCAACACTCGATGGAAAGGAGATTCCTCCCGACGGTTGCAACTCCGGCGAGGAGAGGCGGTGGTGCTCGCGCGAGAATGGCGACACTGCTCGATAGAGACGGTGACGCGTGTGGATGGAGGTGGCCGTCACAGGTGGGGACGAAGGCGGAGGCCCCTCGATGGGGATGCGCCCGCGCCGGCCTCGGCCTGGATGGGGGCGTGGTGCGGCGGCCTCGGCCTGGATGCGGCGGTGGGGGCCTCGATGGTGTGCGGCGGTGGAGCGAGGGGACTGGGGAAGCGCGTCGATGGGGATGACTGGTGGACGCGAGGATTGGGGATTTTTTTGTGACCTAGCCGCGCAAGTGGTTTGGATAAGAGCCCGCTAGATTTTTTTTTGTGCCGCTAAATTTTTTGACCGATAGGTGGGCCTGAGTTGTTACCGAAGGCAAATAATCATATTACTCTCGAGAATTTACTGTTCCTCACACATCAACGGAAATTGCGCCGCGCCAATACTTCCACGCTAACGGAATCGCGCGGCGCTATCCATCGCGCCAACGGAAATCATGCTGCCTTTCCTTCGTGCTAACGGAAATCGTCACCTACGAAGCCTTTCCTCCGTGGGTCCCAGCGTTACCGAGAGTATCGGCTTGGAACACGGTAATTTTTTAGGTGTTCCCGAGTTTTATTTGGAAACACACGGTATACTTCGAATCTTACCGAGTGCTTAAAAAAACTCCCGGTAATGTGGAGAGGCACACGGTAGCTTCGCAGTCTGTGGTAGTGGCTCCTTTAAATTTCAGTTTAAACCCTAATGCAAAATGAATATTTTTAGATAATGGAACAAATATCGGCATTTGCTTCAGGGAAGCTGCAACCACTTATTACAATATTCTCTTAAAGAGAGCAAACATTCAGGGAACATCATAAAAACTGAATAATAAAAACCAACGCATAACGAGAAAATAATTATTAAAGTCTATTTGTAAATTTTCCTCCGAAGTTAGCGAAAATCTACATGACAATAACTTTTAAGCTTCGGCATGTAGAATGTATGATCTCCCTATTCTGTTCACACTTTTGAAGTTGTGCCCAAAACCAAAGCTAGTATGTTACCTTGAAAAGTACCTGCATATAAGATTTATTTGGAGATTTATCGAAAACTACATTATTCCTACTCAACCATAAAGCACAACACAAAGCAGGAGCTTCTACAAAAATGAGTTTCTTAGTTTTTGAATCAACATGACCTAGCCAATTCCCAACCACATTAGAAATACTATTAGAAGGTATTAGTCCAACGGAACTATAAACTATTCTCCAAAGAAATTCTTCAATGTGATAATCAAAGAAACGATGTTGAATAGTTTCATTATTCATATTGAAACAAGATCTTTTACTTCCATTCCAACTCCTTTTTGCTAAATTATCCTCGGTTAAAATCACTCATTTAAACAAAAACCACGTAAAAAAATCTTAAACTTAACTAACATCTTTAGTTTCTATATGTGTCCATTATTAACTAAAGATAAATACATTGATTGAACAAAAAAATGACCAGTCTGATGAAGATTCCATTTAAAAGAATCATTATTTTCATTGAAATTAGTATGCAAAATCAACGTACCTAAATTATGCCAATCAACTAAGTTATGACCAACCAACACTATACTAAAATAAACATTAAGTGGAACAGTTGCAATTAAGACATTTCTCCTATAAACAATATTATAGACAAATGGAATTTACCTTGTAAAGAAGAATTTCCAACCCATCTATCCTCCCAAACTCTTACTTGTTTACCACTATTTACTACCCATGATCCAAGATTTAACAATTTGCCTTTAACTTTCATAAGACCTGACAAAAATGGGAATCTCCTTGTCTCGACCTAACTTGAGTAATTGAGTGATTTTTCAAATATCTCCTCAACATACAGTTCTTGCCAAACTCCTTATTCATTAATCATATTAAACAACCATTTTCTTAGTAAACACTGATTTTGAATCTCTATATTATGAACCCTAGTCCCGTTTTCTTTCGGTTGACAAATGATATCCCATCTTACTAGTCTAAATTTCTTTTTATGATTATCTCCTTGCTAGAAAAAAAAGGTGATCTATAATAATCATTTCTTTCGAAGAAATCCTTTCGGTATCTAAAAAAACACATCATAAACACTGAAAGAACAAAATGGAATCAACTAAAACCAATCTACCTCCGACCGACATATGTTTTCCTTTCCAGCTACTCAACTTCTTTTCAATTATCTCCTCAATCACTTCCCAATTGTGATTATTTAACTTTCTAAAATGCATAGGAATACCAAGATATTCCATAAGGTATTTCCCAATCTGGCATCCAAACATTTGAGAATATTGTTCTTGGCATTCCTTTGCTTCACCAAAGAAGAATAGTTCACTCTTGTGAAAATTTATTTTAATACCAGAAAGCTTTTCGAGCACGAAAAGGAGTAACTTCATGTCCTTAGCATTCTTTAGGATATGGTCCATAAAAATCAATGTGTCATCCACATATTGCAAAATAGATAAACCTTCATCAACAAGATGAGGAACTAAACCAGCTCTCTAGCCATCTTCCTTGTCTCTCTTAATAAGTATAGCTAACATATCAATCACCATATTCAACAGGATTGGAGGAAGAGGATCCACTTGCCTTAAACCCTTCCATGTTTTAAAATTTGGATCTATCTAATCATTAACTTTTATACCGACATGCCCCCTTAGATGAAAAAAGAAATCTATTGACACCATTTAGTAGAAAAGACTTTCATCCTTAGAGTTTATTGTACAAAAGAACAATTAACTTTAGAGTAAATTTCATAAAACTACAGATACTTTGCATGATCTATCATAAAACTACAGATTTTAGAACTAGTTTCACAAAACTACAGATTTAATGTCTTCGTTTATCACAAAACTACAGGTACTTTGAACACTATATCACAAAACTACAGATTTAAGAACTTGTTTCACAAAACTACAGGTTTAATATCTTCATTTATCACAAAACTACAGATTTAGTGTCTCCATTCTCACAAAACTACACATTTTAACAATGCTAAAACCTGTAGTTTTGTGAGAATGGAGATACTAAATCTGTAGTTTTGTGATAAATGAAGACACTAAATGTGTAGTACTGTGATAAACGAATACACTAAATCTATATTTTTGTGAAACAAGTTCTTAAATCTGTAGTTTTGTGATAGATTGTACAAAGTACCTGTAGTTTTGTGATAAACAAAAACACTAAATCTGTAGTTTTGTGAAACAAGCTCTTAAATCTGTAGTTTTGTGATAAATTGTGTAAAATACCTGTAGTTTTGTGAAATTTACTCTTAACTTTATCATATGCTTTCTCAAAATCAATCTTAAAAGTAATCCCACTTTGTTTTCTCTTATGCAACTCATGGATCGTCTCATGTAAAATAATAACCCCTTCTATAATATTCCTCTGAGTTGGACTTATGACTTTTTGTGCCACTCCCATAATTCTATTCGCAGCCACCTTAGTAAATATCTTAAAACTGACATTTAATAACCATATTGGCTCATACTATTGTACTTTTACAGCATCTTCGGTCTGAGGCAATAGAATAATTGTACCAAAGTTAAGCGAATACAAAGGCAATGAACCATTTTGAAATTCCGTCAAAAATTATAGAAAATGCAGATTTATAGCATCCAAGAAAAACTAGATAAAAGTCAACTGGAAATTGATGAGGACCCAAAGCTTTATTGTGTTACGTTTGGATAATTGCTTCTCTAACTTTTTTTGTTAGAAAATTGTGTTATTAAAGCCTCATTCTCCCTTCTATTATCATCAAGAGAGATATGTGATTCTTCACGAAAAGACCATTATAATAAGTTGGAATATGCTTTTTTTAAAAAAATTAGCATCACCGCTAATATATGATCACCATCCTGCAACTAGTAAATTCTTGTTTTGTATGCTTACTGTTAGCAACCAATTGAAAATATTTCATATTGGAACACCTTCCAACAAGTCCTTAACTTTAGCACGTTGTACAACTTAATCTCCTCCTCTCCTAAAAGTATAGCTAATCTATTATTCATAAACTGATTTATATATAATTCCTCCTCCTCCTCTCCTAAAAGTATAGCTAATCTATTATTCATAAACTGATTTATATCTAATTCCTATTGTGACAATAATGTTACCTCTTCCTTTTTGTCCAGGATATCAAACTTATCTAGCAACTCTTTTTTCTATCTTTTATAAGATCCACTAATATTTTTGGCCATCCTCTCAAACGTTGTCTTAACTTATGAAATTTCACTTGCCACCTCTCCATTGGACTATTCCCAACATGAACACTTGACCATACCTCCTTAATCATGTCAAAAAAACCCCTCTCGTAACAAGCTACCAAGATAAATTTCAAATTTGGATTGAAATTCGAGGAAGAATTTAATAAGAAAGAAGTATGATCAGAAATATCTCTAATAAAGATAGAGGGTATTTTTCCTCCCATTTAGTAGAGACCAATATTCTATTTAGCTTCTCAAAAGTAGGAACATCTAGATTGTTTGCCCAAGTATAAATCCTGTGAGCCATGTGCAATTCCCTCAAACTAAGACCATCAATTAATGCATTAAAAAGGAATGGCCATCTATCATCAAAATTAGAATTATTATTCTCTCTAGAGCTTATCAAAATATTAAAATCGCCACCTATTAGCTAAATTCTCATGACTACACATATGGACTAGCTCAGCAATGAACTGCTGCTTAAACTCATTCTATGCAAAACCATAAACAAAAACTAGTACCCATTTAAACTTAGTACTTTTATTACATAAATGAAAAATATAATAATCACCTTCATCAATAAGCCAATGTCAACACACTGTAAATCAACACCCAACTGCATACCCCAAGATCTACCCTTAGGAGGTTTACAGTGCCAAAAAAAAATTACCAGCACAAAGAATTTTAAGGACAATTGTTGTAAATTCACTCCTAACTGTCCCCCAAATAGCAATGAACTCTAAATGTTGCTCTTTTGTTAAATCAACAATATATTTATGTTTCTTTGGGTCTTAAAATCCATTACTAATATGCCTTTCATGATAAATTATTCTTATTTTTCTTACTCCCCTTTGAACCCTTCTTCGGTTTTTTAACAAGAGATTTTTTAGATTGTGCAGTGACATTTATACCATCATCATGATTAGCACCCACATCCATCATCTCTTACATAATACCACTACACAAATTTCCTAACGCGAGATTATCTATGTTTTGCTCACCCAACAACTCTATATCATTGTTATTGTACAAATACTTCCACACAAATCCACGTACAAATAAAGATG